AGCCTCACCCGCTCGATCATGCCATTCTCGATGACGGGGACGCCCGACTTGTAGCAGAGCTTGTTCAGGTCCCACGACCTGGGGAGAGAGCGGGGCCGGGCCGGGGCGGGGCCGGGGGTCAGCTCAGCCCAGGCGGCCCCTGCAGGGGAGAGGGGGCGGGGCAAAAGCACCAGGGGCGGAGCCATGGCAGGGCATGGTGCAAGAAGGGCAGAGCCTGGGTAGGGTGTGCTGTTAGGGGGCGGGGCCATGACCAGGTGTGGTGTGAGGGGGCTGGCCCATGGCAGGGTGTGCCGTTAGGGGGCAGAGCCACGGTAGGGTGTGGTGCGAGGGGGCGGAGCCATGGCAGGGCGTGGTGCTAGGGGGCGGAGTCATGGCAGAGTGCAGTGCAAGGGGGCAGGGCATTGGGGCGGAGCATCTGCAGTGTCACACCCAGAGGGCACAGGGCAGGGGGAGCATAGGGTTCTAGAGGTGGAGCCTAAGAGGGGGTGTGGCTTTGAGGCTGGGCCTGGGGATGGGCGGGGCCTGGCAGGCTCCACCCCCGGTGCCCGACTTACTTGCCATAGAGCGAGACGCAGACCTTGCTGGCGGCCAGCGTGGCGCGGAGGTGCAGGCGCAGCGCGTCGGGCGTGAGCAGGTTGGCGCCGGCCGGGCGCGCCGTCTGGATCAGCATCTGTGCCGTGTACGCCGCCTCCTCGCCCAGCTTCTCCCGCGTGTAGCGCAGCTCCTGGCTCACGCGGCTGCCGGCTGCGGGCACAGCGCCGCCCTCAGTGCCTGCCCGGGCCGGGACGCTCCCGGTGCCCCCGCGCAGGCCCCGACGGGCACGCACACATAGATACGGATGCCTGCACACGTGGGCACAGATACTCGCATGCACATGCATCCACATGTAGATACAGATGCTCACACACATGTGCACGCAGACATGCATGCACTCATAGATACACGTGCCCACATATGCACATGGATACAGGCATCCACATGCATGCACACACAGATACAGGCTTGCACACATGGGCACACGACTGCTTCCATGGCATCCCAGCAGCCTGCAGAGACCTCCTCCACCCCGCCCCCCGCAAGGCAGCCCCCAC